CTTGTAGTTTGTTGGTAGATTTTTGTTTCTTTTATTTTAGATATGATATTATATTATTTCTCTCTATAACGAATTCTTAATAGAATAAAAGAGAGAGAGAGAGAGAGAGATAGATAGATAGACAGAGAGAATAGAGAAAGATATTATATATTTTGATAGAATTATTATTAGGTTATCCTCCACGTATTATGACTATTTCAACAGAATTACTATCATATTATTCATTCAACAGGGTATTAGTATTAATAGACATTTACTATTTCAAAGGAATTACTATTACGTTATTTATATTGTATTGAATTATTAATAATAGATTTTATCCTTATTTTTCTTTCCATTTTTTTATATTAAATTATTTTTATATAATCTATTCTTAATGAATCGATATAAATAGATACAGAAAGAGAGAGCGAGAGAGAAATAGAATAGAGAAAGATATTACCTATTTTGATAGAATTATTATTAGTTTATCTTACTCATATTATATTATATTATAGCATCAATAGTTATTTAATATTTCAACAGAATTATTATTACATATAACTTATTTAATATTATATTAGTATTAGATTTGTATTATTTCAAAGAGTTACTATAATAGAAAATATATTACATTAAATATCATTTTATATTTTTTCACAAATCTCATTTCTTTAATATTATTTTTTAAAGATCATATTTAATAAATTTAAATAATATATTCTATAGAATCATTAAACTTAAGAATAATTAATTTTTATTATCATATCTCTGTCTTTCTCATTATTAAACAATTTAAACAAGAAATGAGGAACGATTAACATAAATGAATCACAGACGTTGTAAAAATTTAACATTTAATTATTAATAATAAATTCATTTAAAAATAACTACTTATCATATTTTCAACTATAATTATTTGTGTTCGATGAAAATCTACAAAGTATAATAAATAAATTTCATGTATTTTCATATATTTAAATTTAACATTATATTAAATTAACAAACAAACAAAACCAAAATAAACAAGAAAAAGAAAATGAAGGACGAGGTAGTATACGAGTCTCAGACGTGTGAAGGGATTATATAATTTCAACCCTTTTCTACCCCTTCCTTATTACGAGGGGATACTTTTCGCACTTTTCCGGCTTCGATTATCGCGTGAAACGTTCTACGAAACAGTAAGTGTAAGAATGAAAAGAGAAATGGGGCTTTGAAACGAATACCTAAAGATTATACATACACGTGTATTTGCGTATATATATATATATATATATATGTGCATATCGGAGACGTTAAAATGACAATGATGGCGTATATTAACACCGGACACGTTCGGAAACGTTTAAAATCGTTTCGAAATAACAATAGGATATATCTCGGGACGTATTTGATATCGATTCGATACCCAACGACATTGACATAACGTTTATAATTAATTTTTCACGAAACGTCAGTGAGATAACGACTGATCGGGAAAATTATGACTAGGAAAATGATCGTGTGCGTGAGTACATGCATGCGCATATATATATGTATACATATATGTGCGTGTATATGGATAATATTCGTTGGTCCGAGATGATATCGAATCCTGATGAGAGAGATATCCTAACGAAGATTAAATTTATTTCAAATAGAAACACACACATACGTGCGTTTCGGGGGGTTAATCGAATAAATCGTTTATCGAAAGGACACTTCAGAGTAAAAGATAAATTAACCAGATTAACAAGATATTACCTACAATTCGATAAACTCAAACTTTCAACATATCGATATCGTAATAATAACGAAAAGGTCCTCTCCTGGTATACTCGTGTTGTAATTTGCTGTTTGTGTATTGAACATCGATCGTTTTCTCTCTTTCTCTTTCACACACACACACACACACTCACTCATCCTATCTACCTGTCCTTTACTCTCTCGTTGGGAACTACATTACCGATAACCACGAGGACGAGCTTAGGAATGTAAAGCCGCTTGGCCATTTCAAGTAGAATGTTTCCTTTGTCCTCCTGCCGTCTATTCTATCCTCGCAAAGCGTACAATTTGAGAGCGATTCCGGTTCGATCGGTCGTTGATACGAACGATGCAATCTTCATCGAGAAAACAGGGGTGAGAGTGGGGGTGGTGGATGCGGGTGAGAAGGAAAGGTGGAATGGGGAAAGTTAGAGGTGAAAGAAAAGGAAGAAGAGATCAGTACTTATCGTAATATCTTCTACGATCTTATCGATTTTCTATCTTAAACTACAGAAAAAAAATCCTACGGAAAGATCGATCTTATGGTCTAACGATCGATAGATACGTGAGTATTGTTTCAATTTTAATTTGAAAACAAAGCGACACGTACAAACGGGAGGAATGAACTTTAACGAACTTAAGTAATACGATAATAATTCGAACTGTTGGATAAAGGTTGGTAGGTAGGTAGGTAGGAAGTAAGGAATGAAAAAAAAAAAAAAAAGGAAAAAAAATAATAGGACGGCAGGAGGGTGGTGAAGTGTGATCGATGACGCACGGATTATCAAGCAGCGAGCAACCTCTTCCGCTCGCTCGACTCGTCGTCGAGGACTACTTACCTTCTACAACCAACCACCACCACCACCACCACCACCATACTACTACCACCACCATATTACCACCATTTCCACCACCACCACCAATACCACTCTTAACGTTTTCCACGAACCCAAGATCAATTCGTAGAGCATATATCGAATACGACAACCGTAATACGATCGAACTCCTTTATGGGGGAAATGGGGGAGACTCATTTTTAAGTCTAATTTATCATTTTTTTTTTTTATAGGATAACATTTTTGTTTTTTATATCAAATATATTTATTTTATATGGCATTTGTATTTATCCGATTGCTCGATTAATTTCTGATCGATTTTAAATGAACATTTCAAGGGGGTACATTTTTATGATATGTTATATATTTTGTTATGAGGTATATAATAAAATAATATATTTTGAAATCGGATATAGGAATATTTTCGCGAGCTAATTTTTATTGGTATAAGTATTGAAATTACGTTGAGATTGTTTTATATACCGTTTTTAAGTTCGAATAATTTTGTGTTAATCATTTTTCAGAAGTATATTGAAAGTATAAATCTAAAGGAATTTTACGGGACAAATTCGTAATATATTATGTATGCGTGTATATGAATAGTCTTTGTAATTTCAAATATTAAATTGCAAGTATTTCAACAGTATAAAAATTATACATTTAAAACGAGAGATATATATTATATATACTCGATCGAAATATTATAAATTTTTTTGTTTTATTATTTATCTTTCATTCTGTGTTCTTCTTCTTTTTTTATTTTATCGGAAAAAAAGAAATCAAACTTCCGTAATAAAAAGAAAAAAAAATATAAGCAGGAGAGTAACGCGTGATTATTAAGTAACATTTTTATATCACATTATAGTTTTTTTTCTCCGCGTGAAATATTGTGCATCGTGAACTTTGGGTAGCATAGCAAAAAAAAAAAAGAAAAATAAAAAAATTGGCAAAAATTACGTTCTAGCGTTCGTTGATTTTACCTCTCTCTCTCTCTCTCTCTCTCTCTCACACACACTCTCTCTCGCAACGCACCATTTTATAATGTGTGAGTATTCTATAAACAAAAACATTGCACGAGAGATTTCAACGTGAGCGTTAACTCACACGAAAGCACACGAAAGTACACGACTTACACATTCTCGTGTATTTATCCCATGTAACTGTTAATTGTACAGAACCGCTCGACTACTTCAATTGATTATGGGCTACTAATGCATGCTATTGCTTTGTTTCAAATATATGTAATATGTATATAATTTTTGAAAGGAAGATCTATATCTATACACACGCTACAATATTATACAATATTATTTTTTTCCCATATAATATAAATGGTTTTCTACTTTCTGATAATTTTTAATATCTATCTCTCTCTCTCTCTCTCATTCTTTTTAAACGAATATTTTAATAACACACTCGCAACAACATTATTTAATTATACGAAAAAAAAAAAAAGCTAGAAAAATAAAGATATTATTTCATTTAGAAATAAAATTAAAATGTGCATTAAATTAAATCTAATAAAAATATCTGCAACGCGTTATATGAAATAAAATGAAAAAAAAAAAAGAAAAAAGAAAAAGAAGTTTACTTCATTCTCTTTCGTGATTCTATTTAAAAAAAAAAAAAAGAAAAAGAAAATAAATATTTAATAAGATTATAACGAGACGTGTATAGATAAACAAAAGACTTATTTAACATTCTTTGAAACTACCTTTAGCAAAAAAAAAAACATCTTTATATAAAAGAATGTGCTATCAGGCAACGTCTCAACTCAAGCCAGACTGTGTCGAATTCAAAGTCGAATCCGATCGAGAGATCGATCCGCTTTGGGTCGTCGAGTAGCTTCTATTTACGTCTCACGTTAGAAACGATACGTGCTTGTCAGCAAAAAGGAAAAGAAAAAAGAAAGAGAGAGAGAAGAGTAAGAGGAAAGAAGATTGGCTCAATCGAGATTCCCTCTTTTCGAACGTCGAACAACCAAATGCATTTTTCACCTTGTTACCATTTCGAAAGACAGAGAATGAGAGAGAGATATATATATATAGTCTGTGTTCTTTCTAAATAAAATGAGAAGAAAAATGTAATCGTAAAATTTAATATAAGAAAATAAAGTCAAGAAAAAAAGAAAACTATCGATAGAAAAAACTGTTTAATCATCGACGAGGAATACGAGTGTCTGGTTTTATCTGTAACGAAGCATCTGGATCGGATCGGATTTATTTTAAATGCCACACGAGACACGACGATGACGCAGAACCTGATGCGTGCGTGCGTGCGTGCGTACGCGCGTATAAGAGAGTACCCTCTTGAAAAATATCAGTAAGTAAGTAATGTATGGTAAAAAAAAAAAAAGAAAAGAAGATAAAATAAAAAATGAAAAAATAAATAAATAAAACGAAAAAGAAATAGGTTGACGGTAAGTAGACGACGATGACTCAC